TAGCTGCACCCAAATGAAATTTACATAAATAGCACAAATAGAGTTTTCTTTCAGTGGTATTTGATTGCCTGTGTGGTTTTTATTTTTTGCGCTACAAAAAAAAAAAAAAAAGGACCGACAATTTTAAGAAAAAAAACAATACTTTTGACTTTTTGCTATAAAACATGTCCAGTAAAAAAATTAAAAAATCTAATTTCATCATAAATTTAAGCCAAAATGTATTCTGCTACATGTCTTTGTTAATAAAAAAATCCCAATACATGTAAACTAATTGGTTTACATGAAAGTTATAGTGTTTAAAAATGGCGGTATATATACGGTGTGGCAAAAAAGTATTTAGTCAGCCACCAATTGTGCAAGTGGGTTGATCGAAAGGGTTAACTGTGTGTGTTTTATTGTGTGGTGTGTGTGTGTGCTTCACTGTAAGCACACTGCTTTGCATGGCTCTGCTATGCAAAGCCATGCATAGCAGTGTGCAGGAGCTGACAGGGAGAGAACTGTATTGTTTACTTAGTGTTCTCTCCCTCCATCGGTAATGCTCCTTGATCACCGGGTGCTAGTGAGTAATCACCGGCCGGGACCGGTGGTTGACAGCTAAGGCCTCAAATAGCAGCGCGGGTAGGGCTTACTCATGCACCCTACCCAGAAGTGCAAAATCACGTATATATACGTGATTTTGCGCACACGTTCCGCCCTGCAGCAGTATTACTGCTATAGGGTGGACGGGAAGCGGTTAAAGGAACTCTATAGCCACAACAAATGCTTTCATATTGTAACATTGGCACTGAAATAGCAACACAAACAATAGTTATTTTTGACAATCCAACACAAACATACTTGAAAAATCTCCTTCTGTGTCATAAGTTCTGCCTGTCTGCTGGCCATCTCTTTCCACCACTTCCTGGATTCCCTGCATACTTTGCATTTCTTTGTTGTTTACTTTCAATTTCTAAGGACTACATATCCCATGATACCTTGCTGCTTGTAAGTAGAAACTCCTGTTCTGACTCTGCCTCCTGAAACTCCTCCTCTCAGCACCTCTATAGTTCAGAAGGCAGGCTCTGTGAAATGTGTGACACAGCAGTGCTTACTCACAGGACAAAAAAGTAAAAAAAAAACTCAATAGCGCAACTGGAGAGTGATAAAGTCCCAAAGCAAGAATCTGTAGTCTCTGTGTGTAGGTCCAGATGTATTGCATGTACTTCTAAAATGGCTGTAGCTCCTCTAACAGGGTATGGACTATCTCTGTGCACTAAAACAATAAACAAACAGAAGGCGCTGCCATCTAAGTATGTCAATTTAATTAAAAACAAGTAAAGGAAAGGGTTAAAATACACTCACAAAATAAAATGAAAATAGATAACATTATTAGCATTACAAAGAAAATTTGACTCAATTTAGACAGAACTAGAATAAACAGACACTATATAAACGATCAAAACAAATGAAAAAACAAAACAACATAAAGGGGAACCCTAGCCCATAGAATGAAGATCATAATGTGAATTGCATTCCAAGAAGAGTTTGCAATTCACTATTGATGTATATGGAGAGATGAAGGAGGGAAAGAAATGACAATATATATGATAATAGTATAATTATTATAAAAGGCTATATACTGTATATACTGTATAGCTTAAATATAATGTAACTGGCAAAACAATGGAACTAAATGATAGTACTGGTTTCTATCTCTTTATGCTGCTGGTGTGAGAGTAAATGGGTATATCATCAGTCCTTATTCGTTGGCAAGCCTCAATGGACAGCGGGTGGATGAATGGATGGATGGGATGTCTCTTTTAAAACTGCTTTGCAGAACAGGTGGAATAGAGCTAAACTCTCTCAGAATGCAGCTTATGTCCAGGCAGACTGTGTCTTCCTCCCACAGTCACTGTAGCTGCACTGCGAATACGATTGATAGTTAAGTATGGCCGGATATGGCTCAAATTCAGGCAGAACTGACTGAATAAATAAACACTATGTGAACAATCTTAAAAAGACATACAAGGGGAACTCTAAATCTAAAAATAAAACAAAAATAAAATGAAAATAGATAATATTATTAGCATTACAAAGAAAATTTGACTTAATTTAGATAGAACTAGAAAAAACAGATCATAAACAATCAAAACGAATGAAAAAAGAAAGAAAAAAAAAAAAAAAAAACATAAGGGGGAATTCTAGCCCATAGAATAAAGATCATAATGTGAATTGCATTCCAAAAAGAGTTTGCAATTCACTATTCACGTATATTGATAGATGAAGGAGGGAAAGAAATGACAATATGAATGATAATAGTATAAATATTATAAAAGGCTATATACTGTATAGCTTAAATATAATGTAACTGGCAAAACAATGGAACTAAATGATAGTACTGGTTACTATCTCTTTGTTGAGACCTGCTGGTGTTAGGGTATTCAACAAGAAGATCCAATATGTCTCCTGTTCACACAATTTTTTATACCTTTCGGCTTTGGGGAAGGTATTAGAGACCTGCTCTATGATCCAGACCTAGTCCCAATGTGGATTTGGAATTTACTTGTAGAAAGTGCCTGGGTACACTGTAATGTTATTTTTATTTTTATCTCCTTGTTCGATGGCTCTCTTGTGTTCTCCAAATCTCGTCTTAGGGTTCTGATGGTCCTACCAATATAAAGCAGACCACAGGGGCATCTGAGGGTGTAAATAACAAAATCTGTAGAACACGTAAAGAGATGGGAAATGGGATGATTTTTACAGTTGCTCTCAAAGCACTTGAGACCATTAGGACAAAAGCACATGTTAGGGGTTTTTCTTATTGCATATATACATTCTAGATAAGTTGGAGAAAAATCTGGTTAGTGTGGGGCCAGCAGGTGCTGGATTTTGCAACTTGCTTGGAGCTACCTGGCTTTTTATATTATGAGCCTTACGATCAGTGAACTTAGGCTGGGGAGGTAATGTGTGTTTCAGAACAGGGTCCTCTAACAAGATTCCCCAATTTTTCTTGAAAATATTTTCTATCCATTTGTATTTGGAATGAAATTGTGTTATGATTCTGGTGGGATTTTCTTCAGTTGAGGGACTGTAAGTTCTCTCTCCGGACAAAGTGAATACACAGAATTCAAAAAGTACATTCATGGGGATCTTCACGAAGTAAGTATACATACTTCAAAATCCTTCAGATTAATAGGAGTAGGCTAGAAGTAATTGAAATACAATGTGGAAATGCCGTAAAAAGAAAGATTCTACGCCCAGGTACATTCCCCTCAGAGGTAGTCTGTTGGTGCTCTGGTCTGGGTGTCCTGCCAACTCGAAGAGGTGACTACTCGTCTTCTCGAATATTCATCCTTATTAGAGTGAGTAAGTTGTACAATAAAATGACTTACGCATTTCGGCAATAAGCCTTAATCATATCTTATATAGATGAATATTTGGGAGGATGAGTACCCGGCTCTTCAAGTTCTTATTCACAACGTGGAAATGATTAAATGATTTTATATTTTGACAGTAGATACTTTAAATTAAACGTTTTTTTGCCTGGAGTTCAGCTTTAAAGTGTACATAAATTTAAAAATAAGTAGTAAAATAGCTGCAGCACAAATAAAACAACCTGAATGCATATTCTGCAACTTAACTGGTATAAAATAAGATGCGCTGCTCCTTTAAAAAAAATCCATATACATCAGTGTATTAATGCAAACATAATCTTAATAAAAAGTGAATAAACAAAGTGATAGTAAAGTGCAAAGTGCTCAATGCAACAAATAGGTGCAAACAGCCCCAATACTGAAATCAATTCTTCAAATAAATGCAGACATCTCTTGCCAGCACTGAGCTAACCAAAGTGTGCTCAAGACTCTTGCTCACTGGCGAGTGTGCACTCTGTACCGGAATGTCAGATCCCAATACAGAGACCAATATGCACCTTGCTGCACCCCAGTTAACTTAGACTCCACCACTCTAATTGGTCAATGGTCCTCAATTTCAATCTCAGTGAAGGTAAAGATATGAAAAGAAGTAAATTCTATAATGTACTATTCTCAATAAAATGTAAAATTTACTAAAATTGCATTTGAAAAGGAGACCAACAATGCAGCATATATCAGAGCTGGCGCCCCCACATCCGCATACGCCATGCGCAATGACGTCACGTATCTGGCCCCATCCAGCGCATTTCTCCTACACAGACATCGTCAGGGGAAGAGGCTCTGGTAAGGAGCGCACACTCACTGGTGAGCAAGAGTGTGGACTTTCTTTGTCCCGGGTTACTACTGCCTCAGAGTTGTCGTCAAAGAAATAGATGAAAAAAAATCCTGCAATGAAGAAAGCTGCTCCTTTGACAACTCCGTAAGATGGGAATTTTATTTACTTTTGAGAGATTTCCTGTTCCTTTCCAGGACAGAAACTGAAGGGAAATCTCCCCAGCTGAACACAGGCAGCTAAAATCAGTTGATAGAGTAGGAAGGGTTGAAGCCTCTATCTAAAACAAACAAAAAAAATGTTGGCCTTACATACACTTTGACTATTTTTAGCCTTTAAAAGTTATTATTTGGTTGTGCCCTCTTTTTCACTGTTGTCCTAGGCAGTGATGTGTGAGTATCTATCCCAAACAAAAGCTCCTTACACTACTAGGCAAGCCTGGATGACTGGATTACAGGACTAGGCAAGCCATATTAAAATCTGCAAGGTTTTACTATACGTTGAAATGACTTATTATCAAAATGCCTTGCGAGTACATTGGATGATTTGTAATAAGTATTAGAGCTATATAAGCATTTCTAAAGAGTTACACGGTAGCCTATTAACCACCTTCCGCCTGCCCTATAGTACAATGATGGGCGCAAGGTGGTTCTCTCGTTCTGATAGGAAGTCATATAACGTCCTACCATTCTCACTGCGCATGCGCATGCGCGGCCGATCGCCAGTGCTCTGTGTCCCTCGGACACAGCGGATCACGGAATGAGCTGAAGATGTCGGCTCGGTCATGTGATCAGCTGTGTCCAATCACGGAAATGACGGTTATCGTCATTTCTCTCCTCTCGAGCTGTCACGCTGACAGCTCGAGAGAGGAGAGCTGGTAATTGGCTTTCCGCGGAGGGGACATGTACACTGATCATCAGGGCACTGATGATCAGTGTGCCCTGATGATCAGTGTGGCCCCAGAAGTGCCAACCTGTCAGTGCTCATCAGTGCCACGTGCCAGTGCCCATCAGTGCCACTTCAATGCCACATATCAGTGCATACCAGTGCACATCAATGCCACATATCAGTGCCCATCTGAGCTGCCTTTCAATATCACCCATCAGTGCAGTCAGTGCCATCTATCAATGCCAATCAGTGCCACCTATCAGTGCTGCCAATCAGTGCTGCCTATCAGTGCCAGTCAGTGTTGCCTATCAGTGCGCATCAGTGCCAGTCAGTGCCGCCTATAAGTGCCAGTCAGTGTCGCCTATCAGTGCCAGTCAGTGTCGCCTATCAGTGCCATATATCAGTGCCATATATCAGTGTCATGTATCAGTGCTGCCTTTCAGTGCCTATCAGTGATGCCTGTCAACGCCCATCAGTGTAACCTACCAGTGCCTCCCCATCAGTGCCCATCAGTGCCACCTATCAGTGTCCATCAGTGCAGCCTATCAGTGCCCATCACTGCAGCCTCATTAGCGCACATCAGTGAAGGAGAAAAATCACATATTTACAAAATTGTATAACAAAAACTAAGAAAAAACGTTTTTTTTTTTTCAAAATTTTCAGTGGTTTTTGGTTTGTTTAAGAAAAAATAAAAATCCCAGAGGTGATTAAATACCACCAAAATAAAGCTCTATCTGTCTCAAACAATGATAACAATTTCATATGGGTACAGTGTTGCATGACCGCGCAATTGTCATTCAAAGTGTGACAGCACTGAAAGCTGAAAATTGGCCTGGGCAGGAAGGGGGTATAAGTGCCCTGTAGGCTAGTGGTTAAATCCATCACTATTGTCAACATCAATTTTCTGAGCTGGAAAGTTTCAGTATACTTTCACATTTTAATGTATGCTTTATTGCAAAACATTTGTATGGACGTGCATGCTGAAAACTTTTAATGGGCCAGATGTTTAGAAAAGCTGGAGAGTAGTCAAGCATGCCTAACAATGTTCTATAGTTATTGCAGATTTATATTGGTTAAATTATATTTTACAGCCAAATGCAGTTCGGTATTTGTTGTAGATAAAATTAACAGCTTGGTCAGCGTCAGCGTGCCTGCAATACAGATACAAATGAATGCATATGGTAAATGTTTCTTGCTATATCTAAATCTTTCTTCCTAAATGCTTCCCAATTGAAAATTAATTCTGTAACTTTGTTTCATGGTTGCCCTACCTCATAAGCTGCTGCCAGGAACACCTTGTGAAAGGCTGTGGCAGCCACAAGGCTAGTGCGCAAATGGGAATACATACACTCATAGGAACAGCCATACAATAGCGTGGACACATGAACATATCCACCCAAGATACTGGCGCCTAGTGGGCTATTTAACCACTTCAAGTCCGGACACTTTTAACCCCTTCCTGCCCAGGCCAATTTTCAGCTTTCAGCGCTATTACACTTTGAATGACAATTGCGCAGTCATGCAACACTGTACCCATAATAATTTTTTTGCATTTTTTTGAGACAGATAAAGCTTTATTTTGGTGGTATTTATTCACCACTGGGATTTTAATTTTTTTGCTATTTAAATGAAAAAGTCCAAAAATTTTCACAAAAAAAGGTTTTTCTTATAAAAGTTTGCAAATAAATAATATTTCATCATAAATCTTGGACAAAATGTATTCCGCTATCTTTTTTAGTAAAAAAAAAACTCAAATTAGTTTATAACCAAAAATTATAATTTTTAAACTTTTTTTTACATTTTTATTTTATTTTTTTTATATATATTATTTGTTTTTTTTTTTTTTACATATTGTCACCCTAGCAGTACAGTGTCACCATGGTGACACTGTACTGCTTGTGGGGGATGATGAAGATTTTTTTTTTTTACACTGATTGCTTTTACACTCATAAAGGCTGTAGAAAGCAATCATTTCTCCTTCTCTCTGGCTGCATTCTTGCAGCCATTGAGAACTACTGTGTGAGTTGTGATTGGTCACAGCTTGTCACATGGTACAAGGCTGTTGTGAATAGCCTTGTACCATGTGACCTCTGTGATCATTCACAGATTTCACACGTAGTAAGCAATGATGACAGAAATGACATCTTGCTTACTACTCTGCATGTGAACACTGATTGACCAATCAGTGATCACATGATCGGGACCTTGCACAGAGGTCCCGTACAACGATCGGTGTTCCACTGTGTCCCAGGGAGCGTGCACAAGCAGGGGGCAGGGAGGCCGTTTATAAAAGGCCACCCACCCCTGCACTGCCACTGTCCGGCCAGACGGGAGGTGGTTAAAGCGGAGTTCCACGCAAAAGTGGAAGGCTTGTTTGCCTCCTCTCCCCTTCCACTGCCATATTTGGTACCTTTTGGGGGGAGCGGTTACCTGGTTTTGACAGGTACCCGCTCCCACCCCTGGCTTAGTTCACCGTGGCAAAGTGAGCCGGAAGTTCAGCCCCTACTTGCTCCCGCAGTTTCCTGGGAATTTTCACAGGTCCCCCCAGACTGCCAGACCAATCAGGAGGCGTGGCACAACTCGCGCATGCGCAGTGGGCACCAAGCTGTGAAGCCGCAAGCTGTCATAGCCTGGTGCCCACAGTAGAGATGCCAGCACCGTGGAGGACAGAAGGAGAGAAGGGACTGCACGTGTGAGTACACCGCAGGACCCCGGGACAGGTAAGTGTGTGTTTATTTAATGTCAGCAGCTATAGTTTTTGTAGCTGCTGACAGTTAATAAACACAAAAACGACTGGAACTCCACTTTAATCTTGGTCACTACCAGGGGAGGACTGACAACTCATGGGGCAATAGGGGATCATGGGGCCTCTGTGTCCTTGCCCAAACTCAAAAAAGCCTACGAAAAAGGTACCAGGGGCATCTCATGGGGCCCCCTACTAACCCGGGGCCCTCGGGCAGTGCCCGAGTTTCCAAATGGTCAGTCCGCCCCTGGTCACTACATGGGATCATTGCTATATGATCTTTCAGCTTCAGTTACTGTTATCTCTGATCTTAAACCTGCTTTCCCTTGATAATGAGCTGGCATTCCTCTGACCTGGTGTTTGTCTGACCTGCTCCTGGATAATTCTTTGTCGATGTCTATGTTTTCTACCTTCCTTTGTTACCAACCTTGGCCTGGACTCTTGGCCAAGTACCTTGCTGCCTGCACATTACCATCCTCTGCTAGTCCCTGACCTTGATCCTCCTCATGATTTGGTGCCTTCCTGCTCAGCTGTTACCAAACTTGGTTTGTGACCCAGCTCTCTACTGGACTTGGTGTATTCTGAGTGCCCTTACTGCTGTTCTTGTGCTTACTTGACACCAGTGCTTCTAAGTTTATGGTTCCAGCGTCCTTGCACCTGCGCCCACACTTGTCCTTGCAACCTCTGTCCTAATTTTCATGGATGCTGGGACGAGAATTTTGCAGGAGGCCAACCTCATTATCTTGAGTTCCTAATACAAGTATGTGACAGTTGCCCATAGGCATAAAAGGTCAGTAGGATTTACAGGATGGATATGACCAACATCAAGCACACCTCTCCTCAGGCATACATGCAGACACTCAGGACAAATGAGTATTCATATTTTTCCCTATTTGGAGGGGTTTGAGGTAGGTATGGCTGAAATTTCCTAGAGTCACATATCCCCGCAGGGACAATTGTTTTTGGACAAGGTTTGTTTCATTTACCTTTCCCCTACAGAGTGGTGAGAAAGCTGTCATCTGCTGCTACAACAGACAAACGTGTCTTTAGCTGGTGCACCTATAAGAGATTCATTCATATCACAAGTCTTATTATGGGGGTCCTAGAGGAATACAGTGGATATAGAAAGTCAAACCCTTGTTAAAATGTCAAGTTGCTGTGATGTAAAAAAAAATTAGACCAATAAATCATTTCAGAACTTTTTCCACCTTTAATGTGACCTATAAACTGTACATTTCAATTGAAAAACAAACTTAAATCTTTTAGGGGGGAAGTAAAAAAATAAAAAAAAAAATAATGCGGTTGCATAAGTGTGCACACCCTCTTATAACTGGGGATGTAGCTGTGTTTAGTATTAAGCAGTCACAAAATCATGTTAAATAGGAGTCAGTACACACCTGTCATCATTTAAAGTGCCTCTGATTAACCCCAAATAAAGTTCAGCTGTTCTAGTAGGTCTTTCCTGACATTTTCTTAGTCGCATCCTACAGCAAAAGCCATGGTCCGCAGAGAGTTTCCAAAGCATCATAGGGATCTCATTGTTACAAGGTATCAATCAGGAAAAGGGTACAAAAGAATTTCCAAGGCATTAGATAAACCATGCAACACAGTTAGGACAGTCATCATCAAGTGGAGAAAATATGGCGCAACAGTGACATTACCAAGAACTGGATGTCCCTCCAAAATTGATGAAAAGATGAGAAGAACACTGGTCTGGGAGGCTGCCAAGAGGCCTACAGTAACATTAAAGAAGCTGCAGGAATATCTGGCAAGTACTGGCTGTGTGGTACATGTGACAACGATCTCCCGTATTCTTCATATGTCTGGGCTATGGGGTAGAGTGGCAACAAGGAAGCCTTTTCTTACGAAGAAAAAACATCCAAGCCCGGATACATTTTGCAAAAACACATCTGAGGTCTCCCAAAAGCATGTGGAAAAATGTGTTATGGTCTGATGAAACCACTGCACATCACCAAAAGAGCACTATACCCACAGTGAAGCATGGTGGTGGCAGCATCATGCTTTGGGGCTGTTTTTCTTCAGCTGGAACTGGAGCCTTAGTCAAGGTAGAGGGAATTATACACAGTTACAAATACTAGTCAATATTGGCACAAAACCTTCAGGCTTCTGCTAGAAAGCTGAACATGAAGAGGAACTTCATCTTTCAGCATGACAACGATTCAAAGCATACATCCAAATCAACAAAGGAATGGCTTCACCAGAAGAAGACTAAAGTTTTTGAATAGCCCAGCCAGAGCCCAGACCTGAATCTGATGAAAAAATCTGTGGGGTGCTCTGAAGAGGGCTGTGCACAGGAGATGCCCTCGCACTCTGACAGATGTGGAGTGTTTTTGCAAGGAAGAGTGGACAAATATTGCCAAGTCAAGATGTGCCATGCTGATAGACTCATACCCAAAAAGACTGAGTTCTGGAATCAAATCAAAAGGTGCTTCAGCAAAGTATTAGTTTAACCACTTCCCGACCGGCCGTTGTATATAAACGGCTGGAGGGTGGCAGTGCAGGGTCGGGTGGCCA